CCCAATCAGCAGTTAGAGGATCGAAGAATACTGAACTTTCTCAAGGATACATCACAGCTGCACAAAAAGCTGGAAGTAAGTGGCGGACGCGATTGCCCCAATGCCAGCTTTTCGAATCTGGCGCGTGAAGAACACTTTGCGAATCTGGTGCACCAAAACTTTCCTCTAGAACTGGCCCAAGCAAATGGAGGGGACAATGGCTTAATTACTGCCAATAGCTCAGCCCCCGAGGAGGATGGTATAGAATGCTTGGGTGCCGTTGGTAAATCCCAGCCAGCTGCAGCAGATACCGATGAAAATTTGGAGGCTATGATGCAGCGAAAGTTGTCGCTAGACAAGGAAGTAAATGGTCTTGTGGTACCTTTGGAGCAACCTTTGCAGGCAAGCAATCGGATTGTAAGTCCGGTTTACATTCATCGCGAGTGGGTGCTAAAAAAAATTGCGCTCTGCCTGGAGCAACGCACAGCTGGAAAAAAGGCAATGCCGGGACTCCTAGGAGCTGCTAAAGGTGAGGCGCTGGGCGCCAGTGGTAGCAGCTATGTCTCGGCACGTGCCAAAGCAGCCGCCATTTCGACGTCCAGCTACAATGGTTGCTTGGTAATGGGATCAAACGGCTCTGGCAAGACCTCTATATGCCAGGCTATTATGAAAGGAAATTCCGGCACAAAAGGCATACTGAATCGAAAACTGCTGGCGTGCTATCTTATAGAATCCCAGAATCCCGAATGTCACAGCCTATCACTCTTCATACGCAAGGTTGTGCTGCAGTTGCTAAGCCATGCGTCGCTGATTAACAAGGATGAGAGCCAGAAAATCATCGATGAGGGCTTCTCATTTTTGCAGGAAGAGGTGCAGCAACAGGAGTCTAAGCTGGACGAGGCCATGCACAATATAACGCTGGCCGAGAATGCAGAGGATCTTCTAATCGAAGAGCTAAAGCGGGGTGCCAGCGAATTGGATACGAAAGAGCTCGATAATTTTCAAGCTAGACGCACGTCGACATCCAACAAGCAAAAGTCTAGTCTAACACGACAGCAATCGGAGCCGGCGCCAGCAGCAACCGTAGAGGAGTCGGTAGAGAATTTGGATAAGGCTAACAACTATGGAACGCATCCACCCAAGCGCGGGCATAAGGAGCGTGAAGAGCAGGACAAGGATAAGGGTAGTGAGAAGGAGCAGAAACAGGCTCTGGAAAAAGAAACACCCTCACAATCGGCTAAGAGTAGTCCAAGTGGCAAATCCAAATCCAAAATTCCTGTCAAAAGAGGACGCAGCAGCGGTCTATCTTTCCCGGCCAAGGTGATCACTACGACCGCAATTACTTCCAATGGTCAAGCTATACAGCAGGGCGGCGGCGAGGATATTGCCGAAATGGTTAGTGAACAGCTTAAAAGCGAAATAGAAGCGGCCATCAATGAAGATGAAGACAAAGAAGCGTGCGAAGAAAAGCACAAGACGGACGAGGCTACAAGCGAAATGGCAACGAAAGACAATGAAGATCAACCCGAGGCTGATAAAGATTTTGCCGAGAAACAAACATCGAATGAAGAGGAAGCAAAGAAGGAGGCTATAGGTAACAACGAATCACAGGAGGATACCGAACTAAGTTTGGAAAAACCCATTCCCCGGGAGACACAGGCCCTTAGCTCACCCAAGCACGATGCCTTACCGCCAACGCCTGGCCAGAAACCACGCATCCATACCAATACCCTTCCCCCGCCTTTGCCGAAGACAAAAAGTTGTCGCACTGTCATCGCTGATGGCTATTATGAGCTATTGCTTTCGAACCCTGAGATACTACAATGCTTAAGTGTTGATAACATTGAGAAAAATACAGACGAGTGCTTCAAGAAGACTCTCCTATTTCCATTGCTGGAGCTAACACCACCAAAGACAGCCCTTCTCCTACTGATCGATTCCATAGACGAAAACTACATAAACGAGGGAAACTTAATAACGACATTAAAGGGTGGACGTGGTACAGCCACCAACCACAAGAGTCGCAACGTTGCCGAACTACTCTCCAATCACATTCACCTCTTTCCCAAGTGGCTTTTCCTGGTCTGCACCACCAAGAAGCAAACCAAACAGATTACCAAAATGTTTACTGGCTTTAAAAAGATCACGCTGGATGATCTGCGTAAGTCTCATGTGGTTAAGGATGTGCAGGAGTACATTATAAATCGACTAAACTCAGACTTTAAGGACAGCATCATGCTGACCAAGGAGATCATTGAGTCATTGCATCAACTCTACATTAAATCCAACGGTTCTATTCTTTATTTGGAGAAGGTGCTGAATGGCATCAAAGAGAACTTCTTTAGCTTCCGCGAAATTAAACTAATTCCATGCACCCTTAATGGACTGTACCTTTACATTTGTCAGAAGTCCTTTAACAAGAAGCAGTACATGAAAATACGACCTGTGCTCAATATCCTTCTTGCCTCCTCTGGTTACGTAGACAAGCTGTTTCTCTTCAACTGCTTACGCACCCATAACTATACCATTGACTGTGCAGAGTTCGAAAAACGACTCCAGTTAATGCGCAACATCCTTGCATATGACTCTAACGCTCAGCGTTTGAAGATCTTTCACAATTCCTTCTCCGACTGGCTGGTGGATGTAAAATTTGCCACAAAGAAGTTCATTTGTGATGTCAATGAGGGGCATGTTATGATCTCTATGTACTATTTGCTTGTGGCAGATACACTCTGCGCCAACAGCGTACGGCGTTTTTTGAACAGTCGCAATGTGGACCTGGACTTGATACTTATTCTGCTGGAATCGCGCGTTAATCTCAGCGACTGTTTCTACACAAATCACTTGAATTGTTGTGCTTCGTGTGAGCACGATTTTAAGTATGACCCCAACTTTCTGGCAAAGACCCGATCGATGGTTGAAAAGTTTTTAACCAATGACTTGAGCGATGAGTTTTCGCAGTTCTTGTACGACTTTTTTAAACCTAGCTTACCTACTGACGCGAAGACACTGAAGCTGCTTATTGAGACGGGCATCAACAATGCTGAGACCCAAGTAAGTGGAATTTACGAATACTAAGCTCACAAACATTTATTAATCGTTGTCATATTTTACAGAATTCGTGCGAATCGTCACTTATGTCACCGGAACTATCGGACAAGTCGCAGAACATTGATTTTGAACTTGCTGACTTGCTGCTCTCCAGTGAGAAATCGTGCATTCTGGAAACTCAACGCGCCACTAGTCCCTTGGAGAAGAGTGAGCCACATCATGAAAGTCAAGATGAAAATGCTTCGAGTACACTTCATCAGCTATCCGACTCCAATCACATTGAACTTCACAAGGGCAAGGCACTCATCCACATCCTGGCCAACGATGGCAATCATCAGCTGCTAGAGCGCGCGCTGAACGTCTGCAAGAGTCCCATCGATTTAGAGATCGAGGATTATAATGGACAGACAGCACTTAACATAGCCGCTCGCAATGGTCATTTGGAGATTGTTAAGCTTTTACTAAGTTTTGCGCAACCCTGTAACGATGGCACGGGACGCATGAAACGTGTCGATGTTAATCATGCCGATAGGGATGGATGGACTCCTTTACGCTCGGCTTCCTGGGGTGGTCATACGGAGGTAGTTAAGTTGCTTATCGCGCAACCCGCGTGCAAGATAGATCTTGCCGACAAGGAAGGACGCACAGCGTTACGAGCAGCTGCGTGGAGTGGCCACGAAGATATACTTAAAATACTTATCGAGTCGGGCGCCGATGTAAATTCGGTAGACCGACAAGGTCGCACCTCGCTCATTGCTGCTTCCTACATGGGACATTACGATATTGTTGAGATTCTGCTTGATAATGGCGCAAATGTGAATCACGGTGCAGACCCCGATCTGGCCGATTTCATGGGTCGTACGCCACTCTGGGCTGCGTGTACGGCTGGCCATGCCAACGTTGTGAAGCTACTGTTGTTCTGGGGCTGCGGCATCGACTGCATGGACTCCGAGGGGCGCACAGTACTGAGCATTGCTGCCGCGCAGGGAAATGTAGAAACAGTTCGTCAATTGCTGGATCGCGGCCTCGATGAGACCCATCGAGACAATGCAGGCTGGACGCCACTGCACTATGCTGCTTTCGAAGGTTTCCATGAGGTGTGCGTGCAGTTGCTGGAGTCAGGGGCCAAGATAGACGAGTGCGACAACGAGGGCCAGACGGCTCTACATCTAGCTGCCCAAGAGGGTCGACTGCGTTGTGTGCAGGTGCTGCTCGACATACACTCGACATTTGTGGATCAAAAGGCGCACGATGGTAAGACAGCCTTCCGATTGGCCTGTCTCGAAGGTCATCTGGAGACAGTAGAGTTTCTGCTCAAGTTTTGTTGCGATGTGAACTCGAAAGATGCGGACTCGCGCACTACCCTCTACATATTAGCTCTAGAGAACAAGCTGGATATTGTAAAGTACCTGCTGGACATGACTAATGTGGATGTTAATATACCGGACAGCTCGGGACGCACGACTTTGCATGTGGCTGCCTGGCAAGGACATGTCGACATGGTCAATTTGCTCATCACTCTGGGTAAGACTGAAGACTTTACGATTATTAAATTATACTTCAGCTTTTTGACGAGACATTTTATTAATTATAGGCAATGCAGACGTCAATTCCATGGATCTGGAGGCACGTACGCCTTTGCACTCATGCGCCTGGCAGGGCAACCATGATGTCATGAATATTCTACTCTACTTTGGTACGGTTGCCGATCATGCCTGCAAGCAAGGTGCTACTGCGCTCGGCATTTCCGCACAAGAGGGTCATGAGAAGTGTGTTATCGCGCTGCTTCAGTATGGAGCCAATCCCTACAAGTCCGACCATTGCGGTCGTACGCCCATCAAGCTGGCCGCTAAGTCGAGTCGCACCAGCATCCTTAAGATCTTCGAAAACTATACCAAAAGTAAGCTCCACAAATTGCGCCGTTTCTCGCTTCGGTATTAATCGCTCGGCTTTTCCACCCCTTCTAGATGAAGCTAATAATCCCATCGAATCGAAATTCCATCCCTGCATGTTGCGCTCACCTGACCAGCCACCCGCTTTACCCTTGCACCAAAACCTCGCACTGCAACCCGTGCCGTATCCGGCTCATGCCTCTGCCTCATCCGTTTGCTCGGCGGCCACCACAGCCACCGTACACAACGGCAACAATCTGCAGGCTCTCAACGCGTCCACCTCGACGCACAGCTCCAACAACTTCTACCAAAACACCATGCAATCGGATGCGAGCAGCTTGCATAAACGCAAGAGCGTCATTTCTAGTCAATCGACGGGCAGCAGCAATGATGTAAGTTCTTATTTACTGCCTCCACCTTTTCATCATTATTGCTTCCGATCTTACCTTTTAGTTTTAATCGGGGCTAAATAAATGGAAAAGACAATTCTTTTAAATTGATAGAATAGAATAGAATAAAATGTAAACACAAGCGGTCCATCACAGTCGAACTTTTGGATGCTGTCAGTAACAATGCACTTTTAATGCGAGAAAAAATTATTTTTTTTTATTGTTCAAAGCTAAATTGAGAAGAAACTTAGAAGAATAACGTTTTCATTTCAAAATATGTATATAGCCTCAGCTTTTACTTATTTTAACTTATTAGTGAGACATTCGCTAGGGACAACCGTGTCGCTTATTCATTTCGTCACTCATTAACACTGCATCAACTTCTCACTTTGCCATTTTCACATGCAGCAAGCGCCCCTCACCTTCACACAGCAATTGCAGCGTCAAAGCAAACTCAGCTCACGCAATAATCCCTTCGTGCAGAACGCACCGATGGTCAGCTCGAAGCATGGAGGCGCTGCATCCTCAACGTCGGCAGCATCAACATCGGGCCACAAGTCAGGAGGAGTCTCACATCAGCGTCACTCCCAAGTATTGCCCGATCTCAGCGAACATCAGTTGGGTGAGTTTTTAAATGTCATGTTCTTGGGCGATTCCAACACCTAAAACAACCGAATTTCTCCCTTGCAGCGAGCAACATGACGAACGATGCGGATTTGTATGACATGGAGTGCATGTCGCCGCTCTATGCTACGCCCACGCACTCGCCTAGCAGCGAGTTGAGCTCGCCAGGTCAGCTGCCGGCACTGAATGCCTTTGTGGATGATGAGAGGGCGGGTGCAAGTGGCGGCAAGCCTGCCTTGCCCGATAATCATTTTGCACGCGACATTCACATGCGCATTATCCTGGGAAACTTGAAGGAGAACCAGCCCAGTTCATCCAGGTAGGTCGATATTTCAGATATTTCATGTTTGAATCTCATGTCAGATTGATTAGCGATGATTGTTGTTTGTTTCATTCATGATTCTGAAAAAAAGAAACCATTTAAACTGACCGCTCTATCGTAAGTACTATTGATATACATATATACAGTCGGCTCTCGTTAATTAAAACCTGCGATAATTCGAACCTATCTATAATTCAAAGTTATCACGAGCTCCCTCGAAAATCTCTTTATATTTCGGACTATATCAATACATTTTTATGCACTTGGTAATTCGAACGATAAAATCATTGCTATATAGTATAACAAAACGACGCGTTAATTCAAACTCATCGGCGTGCAGTACTCGACAATTCAAAGTTGCATAGAGAAAGAGGCGGTAAGTACATTTTGCGACAAGTTCAAACTTGTATCAACGTTCAGGTGCTAGTCCCGCCCGTCGCACCGCACTTCATACCACCAAGCAGACCCAAAAATCGACTTCTGCATATCTAACGGTCACCGCTCAAGATCCATCCCGTTAACTGTTTTTATACCCTGTACCCGTAGGGTAAAAAGGGTATATTAGGTTTATGCAAAGTATGTAACATACAGAAGGAAGCATCTCCGACCCCATAAAGTATATATATTCTTGATCAGCATGACGAGAGAAATCGATCTAGACATGTCCGTCCGTCTGTCCGTCCGTCTGTCCGTTTGGATGAACGCGAGGATCTCAGAAACTATAAAAGCTAGACTAACCAAAGTTGGCATCCAGATTCTCCTAGATCCGAGTAAGGACGAGTTTATTTATTTTTTTTAATTTTCCCCCCCTTCCCCCGCTGCAGAATGTCGTCAATAGCGTCCACATTTCAAATGCTACATAAACCAAACTTTGCACACATAATTTATTAATAAATATCTACTGTTGTTTAAAATTTTATTTAATTCTGTCGATTCTAAGAAAAGTTATTTGCGAAACAAATTCTCGCCAGTACAACCCCCACAAACTGCACCAACAAGTTCGCTCTTCTTCTTCCTCTTTTTGCTGCTGCTATGGGCGCATATAACTCAGTGACGGAAGTTTACCTGGGTACAGGGTATTACACTGTCGGGCTTGCTCGACTGTAGCGTTCTCTCTTGTTAATACAGCTCTTACAACATCGTGCTTCCCAAATAAGTGGAAATTTGGAAAAATTATCCCTATCCCGAAGGGAGGAGATGATTTTAGGCCAATTTCAATCTTGCCTTTCCTATCAAAAGCACTAGAACATCTAATGACGTACCAAATGACCAACTATATGATAGGAAATTCACTCTTGAACGACAAACAATCGGGCTTTAGGAAGAATAGGAGCTGTACCACCTCTTTAATAAAAATCATTGATGACATTCGCACGCAAATGGACAACAGTATGGTAACCTTCTTGACCTTTCTTGACTACTCCAAAGCATTTGATACCGCAAATCATTCCATACTATGTACTAAATTAAAAAGACTATATAATTTCTCTGACACTGCAATAAACTTAGTCCAGTCGTATCTGTCCAATCGCCACCAAGCAGTTGTCACTTCGGATTGTTGTTCGTCTTTTTTGTTAATTAAACGTGGAGTCCCCCAGGGATCTGTGCTAGGCCCATTTCTGTTTTCCATCTATGTAAATGACCTTCCATGTTGTGTGTCAAACTTTGAGTTACATATGTATGCAGATGATGTCCAAATGTATGTGAGTCGTCCTTTAAGTAGAATTGTTGAATGTGTTAGTGCCTGTAATGACGATATTTGTGAGATACATAAATGGGCGAGGTTAAATGGATTGGAAGTAAACCCGAAAAAGTCAAAATGTTTAGTGATATACAAAAAGAAAGTAAATACACTCAATTTAGAGAAACTGAGGCTAAATAATGAGCATATCGAATACGTAGAGCGGGTAACCAACTTAGGTATAACTATGAACGAAACACTATCTTGGAATGATCATGTAAACAAAACAGTTGGAAAGCTTTATAGTTCGCTAAGGCATCTGTCTTTGACGCAGCATTTCCTTCCAGTTAAACTCAAGCTCCTAATTGCTAAGACTTACTTGACACCCTCATTATTCTATGGTATTGAAATCTTCGCGAACTGTGATGCTGTAAGCCTGAATAAAATAAAAGTAGCCTTTAATAGTATAGCGCGATTCATTTTTGACATTAGAAGTAGACAACCCATAACGGCGTACGCAAACAAGATATAAAATCTGACCCTCAACTCCTGGATAAAACTGAGAACTTTAATTTTCTTACACAGAATTATAGCACGCAGAGAACCGAGTTATTTATATGAAAAAATCACCTTATCCAGGTCGAGAAGAACAAATAATTTAGTCTGCATAAGATATAAACTAGCCAGCTCGGTAAGGCACTTTTTTATACACGCTGTTCGGCTGTGGAACGATCTTCCACATATCCTGAAGACAATTACCAGCGAGACGCACTTTAGACTTAAAACTCAAGCACACTTGAAATAGTACTTCTAAATTCTCTTCAACACACAAAACGAAACAACTTTAGAAATTATTAATTTAAGTAAACTATTATTATTATTAAACCTGTAATTAAATTAACAATTAACTGAATGAAATCGAAAAGAATATGTAATGACTAGCGTAATAACTAAAAAGTAATCTCGTACTTGTAACGCTAGGATAAGTTAATAAATAAATAAATAAATAAATCCCCCCACTTCCCCGCAATTCGTGTTTTTATACTCTGTACATAAAATGTACAAGAGTATATTAGGTTTGCGGGAGCTGAAAATGTAACAGGCAGAAGGAGGCGTGGCAGACCCCACAAAGTATATATATTCTTGATCAGCATGAACACCGTATGAACACCTGGATCTCAGAGACTATAAGAGGTAGAGACACCAAACTTTGCACAAAGATGCCTTATGTATGTACGCTGTGCAAGTTTGTTTTATTTTTTTGGTTCCCCCCACACTTCCCCTCTATTGGGGTTTTCCCGATTTTCCATTCGTATAATCGTATAAACCTATCTCTCGGAGACTATAAAACCTACGGGCACCCAGGTGCCTTATGTGAATACGCAGAAAATGTGTATTTTGGAATTTCCCTCCCTCCCCCATCTCCCATACAAATCGTAGCTCCCGTAATTCTTAGAATTTCGAACTAAAATGCCCCCAGTTAGTAATTATGTGTGCGTATGCCAAGTTTCATCATGATAGACCGATTTAACAAGAAGTTATAGCCATAAATATATTTGCTGCTCAAGCGCTGCCCGCGGCTGTTGTTGATGCTGGTGCTTTGGTTGACCGCGAACATGCTTACACAGACACGAATAGACGCGCATACACATACATACACTCACACTCATGCAATTATACACCCTTTACGTGAGTTCGAATACCAAAAGAGGTAACATCGATCAACAAATTTTTTTTAATTCTCTTACTTTTTATACCCTGTACCCAAAGGGTACAAGGGTATATTAGTTTTGTGCGAGTACACATGGAACACACAGAAGGAGGCTTGGTAGACCCCACAAAGTATATATATTCTTGACAGCATGACAAGCCGAGTCGATATAGCCATGTCCGTCTGTCCGTCTGTCTGTCCGTCTGTCTGTCTGTCTGTATGAACGCAAGGATCTCCGAAAGTATAAGAGCTAGAATAACCAAACTTGGTATACAGATTCTCCTGAGACCGAGAAAGGACGAGTTTGTTCATTTTTTCTGATCCACCCCCCCACTCCCCCCTATTAACGATTTTCTATAACTCCCGTAATTCTTGGAATTTTGAAATAAAATTTGGTAGTCACATTTGGTTAGTGATTATATATCCGTATACCAAGTTTCATTATGATAGAATGATCGGAAAGAAAGTTATAGCCATATAACCAGGCCCAATGCACACATACATACATATGTACAAGTACACAAACACGCATAAGGCACGATTCTGATGTAAATGTAAATGTATGTATGCGTGCATGGAATATTTTATATTTAATTAGTTAATATTTAGTTAACTAATTAAATTAATTTAGTTAATTAATTAAATTAAATTAAATTAATTAAATTAATTATTGTACATAGATGTACAGAGTATTTCAAAGTCGGGACAGCCGACTTTAGCTTATCCACTTGATTTGAAAAACTGGGCAAGCTTTGAATGTACGGATACAATATGTGAGTCTATCAGTAGGCCAACAGCTGGACAGGTTCTGCAGAAGACAATGCGCTTTGAACTGGAAAATATTGTCATACATCAGCGGGCACAACCAAGCGACAATGGACAATCAACCAGCGCTTGAGCCATAGGCCATCATTATTGCCGAACGGAAATTAGCCAAGAATCATAAAATGGTTGACTATAAAAAATATTTTCTTCTTTAGTTAGCATAACGACCATTCGTCAAATTGAGCTTCGATTCCAACTCCAGCGCCAGACTGACAAATTTGCTACCTAAACTTCCGCTTACCCAACCTGCATCAAGTGCATTTACCTAAAAATAGTGTAGGGTTGTGCAAAATATGCAACGCCCATCTGTCTGGATTAACATCATACATTGACATTGAGACTTTAATCCCCACCATTACAGAGCTCCGACAATACTCTCCACAACTCCAAAGCTACATTGATTAAACTTTGCGTAGTTAATATGTAGTTGTCTTTTGTTTTAAACAATTTTACGCCCACAAACTGCAGCAGGGAGTTCGGTCTACTATTGTGCGGCGGAAGTTTCTTTGGGTATAGGATATTTCCACGATTATAGAATTTTCCCTTGTTTCTATTATTATTTATCAGCCTTTGCTGGATTACTCATTTTTTATACCCTGTACCCAAAGGGTACAAGGGTATATTAGTTTTGTGCGAGTGCACATGGAACACACAGAAGGAGGCTTGGTAGACCCCACAAAGTATATATATTCTTGATCAGCATGACAAGCCGAATCGATATAGCCATGTCCGTCTGTCCATCTGTCTGTCTGTATGAACGCAAGGATCTCCGAAAGTATAAGAG